TATTGCACTTAAAATTGTGTTGATTCCTTCTTTTTGGGGGATTTTTGTGCTTAGTTTGATTTGCTAATTTTATATGCATTTATATAGTGACATAAAATTTGCATATCACACTTGTCCCACTAACACGATTTTGTTAACTGTTTTTGTTTTATCTCTCATTCTTTTATTTTGGTGATGCGTCAATTAAATTTTTTTTATCGTTACGTCATATTTAGAGTTGATAATAATAATTTCGATAGTTGATAATAATTTTCTTCGTCAAAATTAGAAATCTTCTGAATTAGACATCTTGCGAAATGAAAAAAAAGAAGAAATAATTGCACAATGTATTACGCAAAAATATCAAATTCTTGCATATCTTTAAGAGATTGATGCCCCTTTGAATGTTTCTCTCTTTTCACTCTCTTCTCACTCCTTCAACTTTTTTTTGCAATTTAAGTAGAAAAATCAAGAATTTTCTCCGAAAGTTGATTTTTTTTTTTTTGAAAATTTTCAAAAGAATTTTGAAATTCTTGATTTTGAAGAACCGGGAATTTTTGTTTTATTATTGAAAGATTGAAACAATAAGGGAATTTTTATATTGAATTAAATAAAAATTAGAAAACAATTCTTTTTTTTTGAATAATTTTAATATGCAAAATATAAAGCTCGCGAGGTAGAGGTTATTTCTTTTTAATAGAGTAACGATAAATTATTGTGTTAATATATGCGTAAATAAACTAATAGAAAAATATGTAGGTTGTTTATATTAAAAGATTCCGGAAATATGTAAAATTACGTGTAACGTATATGAAATTTAATTAGGAGAACGTCGGTTTATATGTTACGTGACAATTTTGCGCGTTATGATAAGAAAAAAAAGCTGATAAATTGCGTCACAATTAATCTCTGATACGGTTTGTGTGTGAAGGTCAATGTCTATCACAAAGTGACCAGACTAGTTCATTAAATGATAAATAAGTGTCAAATAATTATGTTTATTAATGCAAAAAAACTTATTTTATTTAATTTAAAATTATCTATATATAAATAATTAAATTTACTACTATAAATGTTGTAATAAACAAATTCGGTAAATAAATAACTGCACTAAATAAATACATAATAATAGCAAATAAATAAATGTAGTAAATAAATGCACTAAATAAACAAATTGGTTAAAAAACTAACTGCACTAAATAAATAAATATAGTAAATAAATAAATGTAGTTAATAAATAAATAGAATAAATAAATAAGAATAATTAAATACCTTTGTTTAAATTGTATTTGCAGACAAAATATCAGTTTTTATTTTTAAACTACATTCATTAATACATATAAATAAATAAAGAAAGAAATATTATACCAGATATATTTTGATTTAATGTTAATAAACACTGGAATAGGAACTACATAAAAATATTTAAACAGAGAAAGAACAAAGAAATACTTAAATAAATAATTAATGAACAATTGAATTGCGCATGCATTTAAAGAGTAAATAATAAAATAAAATAAATTGTCAAGTTTATTTTATAGTAAATTGACTTTTCCTTGGCGAGACCTGGTACATAAACTGCAAAGCTAATGCTCTTAATAGAAAAAAAGTAAAATAAAAGGAATAACATCGAAGAAAAAAGAAACGGAAAAATTGAAGAACAAAGAAAAGAAGGAAAAATACAATAATAAACAATAAAAAAAGAAGAAAAAAAAATCAAGAAGAGCAATGTATTTAAAAGGCCATTCACTTTCGTAAAATAACCTTGTCAAGGCCAGGAGCTTGTATTACTGGAAATTGCATTACATAAATGAAAAACTCCCATTCCGCTTATAAGACGAATTAAGGTCTTCTTTTCTGAATGTCAGCTGAATTGACTCCCCAAGAATTTCTTCTTTTATAAACCACTATTTCTATAAAACTAATCATTCATTTAGAGTTAAATGAAAATAAAAATGAGAAAAATATTTCTCTCTAAACGTTTAAAAAAATGGAAAAATTTACAAAAAGGTTGAAAATAATTTCTCTCCATGTTAATTATTTTATTGACCAATAAATAATTGACACATTAGAAATTTTTCTCCACATACAATTGCATTTAATTTTATTTTTCATAATATTGTCAATTATATTTGTGTATAATATATGTTGTATATAGAGGGTACAATTTATAATCATATATGTTTATATTCTATGGTATACCATGCATAATACAATTATATTGTCAAAGTTTCATACATGAAGTAATATAAGTAAAGTTCCATGATAAAAAGCCTACAATTTCATTAATTTCTGTGGAGAAAAAATAATTATGCGGATCGTGCCCCTTTAAATTGATCAGAGAAAAGAAAGAGAGGAAAAAAAAATGTTTTTATACGATATAATCATTTCCTTAAAGTGCGTGTTTCTTGTCATTTTCTGTATAGGAGCGTTATTTTTTAATTACAGGCGCGGGGGGGAAAGAAAGGAGAAAAGGATAAAGGTGATAAATATTAGATTTTGCAATAATATACGAGTGAAATAATCCGTTTGGAGAGTATTAATAATGTTTCATGACATTTTTAAGCTTGTGTTTTTGATATCAAAAAACAAGTTAAAATTTAATGAATGTTTGTGTGTGTGTGTGGGGCTGTAGTACACCCAGTGAAAAGGAATTTGGTGCATTAGTTGCATCATTATTCAGCATAGATTTCGCAAGTGCACACCGCATAAGTACAAGTTGCACTGAGTTCTATAGTGTAAAAAGCGTAAATTGCGGTAATCAACGCCTATAAGTATGTTGTCAGATTGAAATGAGACTGTTTTAAAACTTTTTCCTGGTTCGCAATATTTTTCCTCTCATCGTTTAAAAAGAAAGAGGGAGAGAGAGAAAGAGAAAGAGAAACATGTGTCAAATAGATATTTAGGTGAAACGAAAAGGGCAAAATGCAATATCGTTGCTTGGATTTACGATCATATATTGCCATTAATTTTAACCGGTTTTAATGTAACATTATGATACCTTAAAATTTCACTGATTTAAAAATTTCATTTTAGATGTATTTTTTCTTTGCTTTGATATGTTTCGTTGGTTTTTAAAGTTCTATTTGCATATTGAGGAGGTCTATAAATTTTTGGTGTAAATAAATTTATACGAATTTTTCCAGAATTTGTTTTCTTTCTCTTATAAAGAATAAAAATAATTTTTAACTGCAAAAAAAAAAAAATAATAAATGAAATAATTTCATGGAGATGAAAAATTAACAGAAAGGAAGTTACTGAAATATGAAAATTTGATTTTTTTGTAGGTAATACATTAAATTAGGGAGGAAAGTATTTTGAGTTGAAACATTTTTCTATGGCTTCTTTGAAAAAAATTATTTTTTCCTAAAAGAAGAATAGTTTAGGAAAATAGTTATTTTTTGTAGAACAAAACTTGGAATATGATTTTTTTTTGCCTTTAAATATTTAGAAACAAAATTATTTTTTTCTATAAAAATTTACTCTGAAAAAAATTTATTTGATTCAAATAACCGATTACTTTACTATTATTAATTAAATATTTAATTGAATCAAATAATATTTATTGGAGTCAATTAAATGGTATTTGCTTCAAATACTGAAATTATTGGTTTAAATGACATTTTATTGACTCCAATAAATATCATTTGACTCAAGTAAATATTTAATTGATAATAGTCAATTAATCGATTATTTCTTATTTGAATCAAATACATTTTTTTTTCAATGTAGTATAAGAATTATTAAAAGAAAAAAGGTAAAAAATTAATTAATCTTTTGTATTAAAATAAGTAGATACTTATTTTTTCTAGCAAGAAATTAGAAACAAATTTTTTTGTTCTATATAAAATTTAGAAAATTAAATAACTTTTGCTTCTTGGAAAAACTTAGAAAAAAAATTTTTGTTCTAAACAAATTTTTAAAATTTAATCAATAATATTTTCTAGAGAAAAAATTTTAGAAAAAGAAATATTGTTTATAAAAAAAAATTTAAAGAAGAGTCATTTTTTATCTAAGTGAAATTTAGGAATAGAACAATTCTGTTCTAAAAGAAAAAACAAATTGTAGAAAAAATAAACATTGAGAAAGGAGAAGTTAGAAAAAATGTTCTTTTTTAATAAAATTTAAAGAAAAGATTAATTTTTTTTCTATAAGAGAAAAAAACAAATTTTAGAAGAAATAGACATTGAGGAGTTAAGGTAAAATTTTCTTTTTCAAGGAGAAAAAGTTGTTGCGTCAGACGCATAATGAACGTTTTAAGTAAAAAGAGTTGTTTCATCAAGTAACATTTTCTTATTAAGTAAAACGTGTCGTCAAATAGGATAAAGTAAACTTTGTAAGGCGAAAGGAACATTGAGTTAGAAAAAAATGTCACGTTACAGAATAAAGCTATCATGCTGTTTTCGATATAGTAAACAATAATTGCGCTCTTATAAAAAAAGAGAAGAAATCAGATCTCTGCGACAAGTTTATTTTTTCATTGATTGCAATTTATAGAAAAAAAATATTTTTAGCTGCGCATTTTCAATTTTATAGGTATTCTCATTTTTGTATTGCAATATTAATAATATATTTATTTTTATTATAATATAATATATTATAATTATATTATAAATATTCTTCATTTTCGAAATCTTTTGAGAACAGAAAATATTTTAGGATTTATTTATTTGAATCAGTCATTGATTCGTTCTATTGAATAAATAAATAATTAAATTCATTTAATTATATGTATGTTTAAATTTAAAATATAAAATAGAATAAAAAACGTTTTGTGGAATTTAAATTTTTTAAACATGAGAAGAATAAGAAGAAAGAACAAGAAGAAGAAGTAGTAGTTAAGGAGAAAGAAAAAGAAGTAGTAAAGGAGAAAGAAGAAAGATGAGAAAATAAGGATGGAAAAAAGGAAAGAGAAAAAGAGGCGAGAAAGGAAGAAAAAAAATTGTTTTTTACATCAGATAACGATTTATGGGAACACGAGATTCCCGAAAAGGATTGGAAGCTGAAATGAAAACACTCACCAATAAGGCAATGTTCGGCAGGATCAGTAGATCATCTTCTGTTCCTCCGCTCAGTTCTGGTACGAAAACTAACGGCGAAAGAGGAATAGCGGACAGGGTACCATTGTCATTAAAAGTCACGTTTCCATGCTCCAAAAGTTCTCTGAAAACGAAATACATTCATGAAAATATTTCACATTTGAGTACAAGAGAAAAAGGGGAATAAATAAATTTTTACAATTTTTTACAATTTTTAAAGCAAAAATTATAGAGTTTATGAAATTCTGATCATTTTTATGGGGAATTTTACTATACTTCCGAAGTAGATTTTATTGTGGCTGCAAATAATAAAGTTTGGTAATTTTTATACTACTTAAATTTATATACTATTTTATACTAAGTAAATTTTAATACTAAAATTTCCTGTCTCTATTTTTGGGGAAAATTTTACTTTACTTCCGGAGTAAATCTTATATAGTGTGAGTGAAAGTAAATTTTGGTAATTTTAATATGAAAAATATACAACGAAAAATTGCAAAATTTACTTGGGAATTGTAAAATTTACTTCGGAAATTTTGAAAATTTCCATCATGAAAAAATAAAAAAATAATAATAGCAATTAAATCTTTAACGTCCGAGTAGTTTAATAATAAGGAAAATAAAAATAGATTAATTAATGTATCAACTATCAAGTAATAAATAATAATTCATAAATAAGAATTAATATAAGAATTAATATAAGAATTAATATAAGAATTAATAGAAGAATTAATATAATATTATAAATAAAATAATAACTAAAATGTATAAATAAAAAAATTAATAAATGAAATAAAAACAGAAAGTGGAGAAAAAAATTTACTTGTAAACGTATGGACCAACTTCCTGGAGTTTCATCTTCTTATCCTCGCCAGACATAAACTCCCTATGATTGGTGAAGTTAAAGAGATAAACTTTGAGATAGAGATCAACAGGTGGTGATCGCCAGAGTTCAAATATTTCTCCCCCCTCGCCGAAGGTGACTTTGTATTTGAAAATTGCCTCGTATGGATTAACGATAAGTAAAAAACATCCGGATGCAAGACCAAGGAGACCAAGGGTCATCAAAATGAGAATACCTGTAATTGAAAAATATATTTTTTTTTTTTTATTTAAAAATCTTAGTTTAACGTATCTGTTTACAGGAATATACATTGTAAATGTATACTTTATCTTTCTTTGAATATTCTCTCTCTCGATTGCGGGTGCACACTTTATGTGCGTGATGCTGATGATGGGGTTGAAAAATATGTGAGAGAAATAATTTTAGAAATTGCTTTTGCCATATGATACCATTGCGGTTAATGCGGGCATTATAACGGTCATAGAGATTCTTCTTCAGTATATATATCTATATATATGTAGACATATATTTATTTATATTTCTAGGACATTACACTGCTTTCAAAACGTTTTGCGCCTCTTATCATTTACAATCGTTGCCGTCAGGTATCGTTAATCATATTGCGGATATATATATATATATATATATATATATATATATATATATATAATCCAAGTTACTGTACTTTAGTTTGGTTAATAATTTACCTTCAATGGTAATATAAAACTAGGACTTTCTATGTGAGCAACTTGTCATCCTTCGACACCATTAATTATTAACAGTCGAATATAACCTTTAGGCGTGCTTGCACCATTCATTAAATAAATTACAGGAAATTATTCTTTAGATTCATTAATTTATGGTTTTATTGAGAAATTTTTTGACTCTCTTTCCGTTTTGTTCTCTTGAGATTAATTATTAATAGTTTGACTTTAGAACACTGTCAAATTAGGACTTGAATCTAATTTTTAAAAACTACACGGAGAGAGAATATTATATTAAATTTTGTAAAAGTATTTTACAAATTGGGGAAAAAGTGCGACAAAGCTAAATTTTGATGAAAAAAGTACTAAACTAGTCGCATTTTTTCCCCGATTTGCAAAATACGTTTACAAAATTTAATATGTATTCTCTCTGTGTGTATTAAAATTAAATCTAATTTAAAATTTTTTTGGTTATTTTCATTATGGAAAAAAATATTTAATAAGTTTTACTATACTTATGAAGTAAAATCTAAATTGTTTGAAATTTCTGTATATTTATTATTTTGGTAATTTTTTTTGTTATTTATTATTTATTTTGGTAACTTCATTATTATATTACTAGCAACAATTCGCGCGTTACAGCACGCGGCTAACTTTTTATGGTAAAATTAGGAGTTTTAAAAATAACAGAATTTAAAAATTTGTAATTCAAATTTTTGTTCAAAACATGAAAAAAATCCAATTTTGGAAAAATTGCAAATAATTGCAGAAATTCAATTATTTTCAAGGGTTATAAAATTCTTCTCATAAAATTCATTTATCTTTCAAATTTAAAAAAAATTCTCGTCAAAATCCCAATTATCTTTATAAATAACAAAATTCTTCCCCAAAGTTCAATTATTTTCAAATCAATTTCAAATTCCCAAAAATAGTACGCAAACATTTAATTATTTTCATAAAAAAATTTCTCAGGAATTCAATTATTTACAAATTTTTTATAAATTTCTCCGCAATTATTCAATTATTTTTATAAATAATAAAATTTTTCTTAAGGAATTCAATTATTTTCATAAAAAATAATTAAAAATTGTAAAAAATAATAATTGATTTGAAATGATGAAAATAATTTTGAAAAAGTTACTGTAATATAATATTCTTATAATATAAAACAATGATTTTATCACTCGGTCAACTTTAATTATTATAAAACATTCTTATAAGTTATTGAATTTAAAAAGATTTGAATTTGAAATTTTTGAAATTCTTAATTCCTATGGAAAAATAATATTCTGAAAATTTAAAAAATTTCAATTTCATTTTCAATTAAAATTTTTAATTGCCAAATATAATAGAATACGAAGATTATTATAGTTAATTTTATTAGTTATTATTTATTTTATTATTAGCATTTTATTATTTGTAATGTAGTTCAAGTAATGATCATAGAAATTTCAGGCACTATAAATTTCACTTAGCAAATAGTAAAAGTTACTTTCTTCAGTATAATAATTACTAATTAAATTTGGTAAAAATAAAATAAACACTCAGGGAAATTTATTTTGAAATAAAAAATTTTTATTTATTATTTGTATTATTTTCTTATTTTTTTTATATCAAAGGAATAATTATTTTCAAATAAATAAAAGTCAAAGAAAAAGAAGATTTAAAAAATTTGAAAATTGAATTATAATTAGAAAAAAATCTTTTTTCTGGGTGATGAACTTTTTTTTGCCTTTTCTCGTATTTTAAAATGATTAAAACGACTTTGTTTTGCTCCTAAAAGTTGATCCAAGACCTATTAATTGTATTAATAAATGAGACAATTAGAAATTCTTCCAATTCTTGTAAAATTACAACATTTTTTTATCAAGAAAATAAATATTGTTGGAATGTTTTCTGCGAGTTTTGTATTTTTTCAGAAATTTTTGTTTTGGAAATTTTCGCATTCAGAGAAAAGTTTTATTTCAAATAAATATATATAGGGTGGAAGGAGAAAAGAAGTTGTAATGATAAACACTTTTTTTGATAATTTAATAAGAAATTTATTAATTTAGATAAATATTAGAATTGATTGTCCACAAAAATTTAATTTAAATGAGTTTCTGAAGGTTATGGTTGTTTTCTGTTTGTAAGTTATTTATATTTGTAAACTTTACCGGAAATTTAAAGTTATTTCCGTTATTTCTGTCAAATTTTTTATTTTATTGGTCTTTTGAACTTTAATTTTTGACCTGAAGTTTGAAGTTTCGTTCGTCTTTTGAACTTAAATTGTCGACCAAAATTTTGTGATTCTTTTTATATCTTTTGGTTTGTGAATTTCGACCGAAATTTTGTGGCTATTTTTGCCCCTTTTGCTTTGTGAATTTCGACAAAAATTTTACAACTGTATTTCCTTCTTTTAACTTGTGAATTTCGACCTAAATTTTTTGGCTATTTTCACGCCTTTTAGTTTGTGAATTTCGACCTGAATTTTGTGGCTATTTTCGCACCTTTTGATTTGTGGATTTCGATCTAAATTTTGTGGCTATTTTTGCGCCTTTTCATTTGTGAATTTCGACTAAAATTTTAAAGTGGCATTTGTCTTTTTGACCTTTTGCTTTCAAACTAAAATTTTTAGGTTTCTTTAGACTATTGACCTCAGTGAATTATTTTAAGGTTTTAAATAAATTTTTTTTACTACACAAGTGTATTAAATTAACATAATGAAAAGTGACGATTCTTGTTTATATTGTTTTCTCAGAAAGGAAGTTTTGCAATTTTGATGACTTTTCAAAAATTATAAAGTGCATTTCTAAACTTTTGTTCCAACTGTTGTTTTCTTTTCCTTGCAAAGAAGTGAAAAAAAATTCATTTAAGGTAAAACCGTATATTTTTTGGTGAATCAACAAAAGTAATTATAAGAGTTAAGAGTTGAAAAAATATAGTTGAGTGCAACAAGTTGTTACCTATATACATCTAGGACAGAAGTCTGTAATTTTATTTCTCAGTACTTAATCTCTTCTGTTTGCGGTATTAAATCACTTCGCGGACAAAGTATTTCATAACCAAATCATTTAGAGTAATACATGTTGTTAATTATATAATTATACAACATTTATATAAACTTGTAATTAAAAGTAATCAACGAGAATTGAATTTTTTTGATGGAATTTTAGAAAATTGTGTTCTCTCTAAATCAATTAAAATTTTGATTTATTTAAATACATAGTAATTGCTTTTTCGCTTTTGTATCAGTTAAAATTTATCGATTCATTAATGAATCAGTCAAATTTGCTGAGTCATTATAATTAATAAGTAAAAATAAAATTTGTTTATTTATTTATTTCCAATTTATTTTGAATCAGTTAAAATTTACTTTTATTTATTTTTATAGCATCATTTTTGTAAGTAAAAATAAAGTAAAAAAGCAAAAAAAATTGGAAATACAGAAAATAAATTTTAACTGATTTGAAAGCAAAAAATCAGTCATTGATTCAAATCGGTAACAATTTTAAAACATTTAGATTTAGAGAGTAGAAAAGAGAAAAATTATTTTTTCGTTTTATATTAAAAATTCCGTTTTCTTTGTTGTAGTCTTTGATAATGAATAAAAGAAGATTGAAGAAGGAAAAAAATTTCTCGATTCCTTATAGGAAACTAAGAGTTGAAATTTTTCTTTCTTCTTCTTTATCTTTTTTTTTTTGTTTCATTCCTTGTATCAACGATTTATGGGTTCTGTGGAAAAAGAAAACATCTTACGCTCGTGAATCCTTTGTTACATTTGTATAAATTGACTTTTGGTACGCTTGACGGATGACAAAATAGTTCCTTCCGACTTTATTTGTTTTCGTATACGAATCATTCGTGGGAATGAATGGCTCATGCCACTGCACTAGTGCGAATATAAAGTGACGTTTAATCAAGTGATTCAAAAGGAGATCACGTAGAAAAGTATCCTTGTGATCCACTAAGGCGTTTATGTGTTTCTTTTCCCCCGCGGAGTTTGTAAATAAACGCGCAAGTATATTGGGAGCTATCTGATATTACATCTGTTTGCTATTAGGATTACTTTTTTTAATTGGTTTCGCGAAACTTTTCATGTATTCAGAAAACTTCTTTCAAAACAGATAAAAATTTTACCATATTAGCAAAAATTTTAGGTGCTTCAGTTAAGCGTATCGCTAATCTAAAGAAACTTATCGCTGTTCCAGGCAAAGTTTTTTTTCCGTGAGAGAAGAAAATATTTAAATGGTTCTATAAATTTCCGGTTAGTGAAAAACAAAATTTTTTAAAATCTGAAGGTTCAAATGAAAGAAATATTTTTTATTAAAAATAAAATTTTTGTGAATTTGATAACATTTTGATTGATTTAATGAAATTTGGATCAATATGATGAAAGTCTGATTAATTTGATAAAATGTTTCGTTTCCTGACCAAGTTATATTGAAATCAAATAAATTTATTGTCATCAATTAATAGTCAAAATAAAATTTTTGTTTTTCTTGTCAAAATATATTTAAATGAAATTAATTAAATTGATTGAATTATCTAA